ATACGCATAATAGAGCGTAGACTTGTGTCTTTTCCGAGCTGAATATAATACTGAAATTCACCAAAAAATACAGATTGGCGTTCAATGATCTTAACTATATAAGGCAATGTCAGACATTAACGCGTGCATATTCTAAATTGCGAAAATTTATCTATTGTAAATAAGAGGTACTACATCTCTTTATCCAAAACTTGCTCATAATTTTAAGCATATAATATGTCTTTCTACACTACGTTGAAGCTCTTCTAGCCATAGGAAGACCGTCCATGATGTTATGGTGGCATACCGTGATAATCAGCAAGAAAAACCTCTTGCTCGGCCTGGAAGACCTAAAATAATTACACACCAGAGGATAGTAATAGTCGGGCAGGTAAACGAATATTGCAGCAAAGCAGAACAATTTTGAAGGAAATTAAAGATCAACATACAGACTCAACATCTAAGAAAACGTGCTTGAACACAGTTCGCAGTCATTTGCATGAGATTGGTTTCCATGGTCGAGTGGGGGTGAGAAAGCCCACTGGTGAACAAAAGAAATCGAGTTAAAAGATTAAATTGGGCCAAGGAAAGACAGAAATAAGAAATGGAATGATGAGTGGAATAACATTATATTAATATGGCGTGGTGAGTCAAAATTTGAGATGGGTATGGAGAAGATCTCATGAAAAATATGATGTGAAATGTTTCATACCAACTACTTATATTACTATTAATAATTACTGGATTTTTTGCCAATTACACTCCCCTGCCAAAATTTTAGGACCATCCCTGCTGATCAATTAGTAAAACATGAAAAATCTATATCGTTATGAAGATAATTGACTGTATTTTTCGAACAAAATAGTGATAAGTTTTACGCAACTTAGCATAACGAAGCTGTAATTCGCTGAAGTGACGAGATACTGTATATTAATATGTTACACGTGCATTTTCATATTAATATTAATATGTGTAACATATACACTAACACTTTGGCGGATAACGGCTCCATTACAAATATTGCTCAAATTTATGAGTATTTTGTTCGAAGACTACAGTCAATTAGCTTCATAACAATATAAAAATTTTTGTTATTTACTTAGTAAATAATGTCAATACAGATTTATGGGACAGACTGAAACAAAACCAGACAAAGTGAATGTGACATAAATAATAAATGAGAGGCTGATTATGATGTGGCTGTAAAATTAAAAATTGACCAGTGTTACTGATGATGGTTTGAAAAGTAATAATGGTGCTCATTCATAACTTATGGACTTGGTGATTTTAACATTCCCTTTATTATTATATTTATCATACCAGAATGTGATGAATATTAATATAAACCATAACAGGATTAATACTAATATTAATATGTGGACCAACATGATACAACTACAATTTAAAGTCTGGGAAACTGCTTTGGACTCCAAAAACTTTACTTTTCTTTCCATCCTGAAATTCCATCAAACAAAAGATGGTTTTCATTCAATAAATCAATTGAGCATACTCTTATATCAAAGTTTATTTCATATGTTGCAGAAACTGCAGGTGAAAGTGGGAAAAGGTCACCTCTGCCCTTAATATATAATAATAATGGTGGAATTTTTAAGGTAATATTAATATTTTTGGTTTTAAACCTGGTATTGAAAGAATAAATCAGAAGGGAAAAAGTGGTGAGGGGATAGGGTGCTGTCAATATCAAAGCAACCACTTAAGTGACTTGGCAACATGTCAGGTTAGTTACAGGGGCTGTCTCTGGTGGCCTCCATCCTAAGTTTGTGTGAAGGCCAAAGGCAACACATCTTAGTATTAGTGCCAAGAGCAACACATTTGTTCACAACATGCTTTTCTTCCTATAATAATAATAATAATAATAATAATAATAATAATAATTTCTCCCTCAATAATTTCAACAGCAAGCCCAATGGAAGGATGTAGAATTATTTTGGAATAGGATTGAATTTGAAAAAGTTAAAATAAACACTCAATTACTAGAGAAGAATTTGGACAAAATTGAGGTATTTGTAGGTCTAATATGCATAAAGAGTTGTTGTTCAGAAGGAAATTAATGTTTCATTTTCTAAAAAAGCTGATTGACACTTTTTTGTTTCAATAAGACAAAACAACAACTCCAAGCAACTAAAAATGTCTCAACTAGATAAATGTAATCCATAATAGATTTACCAACAGGAATGAAGATTCTCATTACACCCACTTAACCATAGGCTTTCTATATACAAAAGATGATAACAAGATACCAAATCCTTTACATGAGCCCAAGGTATATATATAGGTAGAAGCCCTTCTATACCCTGATCTCTTTCCTGATGGACACAGACATGATGGTGAATTAAAACAAAACACCTCTCTTCCAATGACAAAATTGAAACTTATTATTATGGAAAATACATTGAAAGCTGAATTAGAATGTTAGGCCATGACTCCCGCTTCAGATTACATTTGACATGGCCAATGTGGTCATATACATGTAACTAGAAAAGCACAAGACATCTCTGAACAAAGCACGTCGGAATCACAAAAGCATCGGACGTTGCCTAACAAAAAACCGTTTATTCCATAAAAACCTACAATCAGGAAAAATAATTCCCTTTGCTAACCTGTTGGTTTTCTACACTAACTCTCAATGCCTTCCTTTTCCAACTTCAGTTCCTTCGATAATTAATAGACTCTATCCGCAAAATTCTATCCAGTTTCTTAGAGACGTCAAACGCGAGATTACTCCACACATAAAATGCACAATAAAGAAACATACAACTAAATAAATACTTCTGTTAACGCTATCATACAGTCGTCCCCCTCTACAGTCACACCGTCGGTTCTCCTGAAACCTGTGACTGTAAGGAGGGTGTGAGGAATCCCAGGATATATACAATTCGTTGTGCTTATATAAAGCTTTCTCCTTAATAAGACGTTCAGTAAGAACTATGCCATGCCCTATCGTCTGCTCCACCCAACAAGTCATAACTTTTTCTAGGAATGGAAATTTAACACTCATTCTTGACTTTCGAGATTAAGATCAATCCATCTATCCTTCATGGACAAGATCTTGCTTACTAAATTTTGTGTAAAGAATGCGCGTTCTCCAATCGTTTATTTTTTTATTTTTGTCACGTAATTTCTCTTCACGTGATGTGACTGTTTTTCCATTATTATTATCTACTATTTATCGGTTCCGCTGTGTCTTGTGATAGGAACTATAAGCGAATTGAGACTGTATAGAGGTAAATTTACTATAAAATCGGTTGGTTCTGTACAAAGGTGTGACTGTAGAGGGGGACGACTGTATATCGATAAAACTGAACAAAACCTGTGTCACGTGCGAAGCACGATTTCAATAACTCCCTAGTCAAATATAGGGAGGATGGATAACTAGTGTCTATCGCTTCGATGCTATTATTATTAGTGTTGAGTTATTTATGATCAACACAAAAAATTTTTTCAATGTAGCACAAATGATATAAAAAGTTGAGCACTCGTAGTAAATCGCTCTCCCTCTCGAAAACATCCCACAGCGACATGGCACCGGTGGTAAGTTAGAAACAAGTCTACTTGATGAGAGTCTGTATCTGATAGATAACTAACTTATTATAGCAGAAGAACGCAAAGACTAAGAAGGTGGCCATCAAATATGTCATTGATGCCTCCGGACCAGCAGGGGATAAGATTTTTGATGATACAGCGTTTGTGAGTGTTATTATTAGACAGTCTTAACCACCGTTGATTTTGAATTAACAGTTGATATTTGTTGATATTAATTAATTCGGTGGTTCGGCTATTTAGGAGAAATTCTTACATGATCGTATCAAAGTCAATGGCCGCACCGGACAATTGGGTGACAATGTCGTTATAAGTCGTGGGGCTGATCATAAGATTACTGTTACCGCGAACAGTCAACTCTTTGCTAAACGATATTTAAAGTATTTGACAAAGAAATTCATGAAGAAGCACAATATTAGAGACTGGTTGCGTGTTGTTGCAACGGACAAGGTATTCAAAGAGATGTCTTTTTGATCGTACCCGTGTTATCGTATGCTAACGTAGAATGTTTCGATTTAATGTAGCATACTTATGAAATAAGATATTTCAATATTACTAACCAAGAGGAGGAGGAGGACGAGGAAGAATAATAATTTGAACGTTTCTGTCAATAAAGACTTCTTAACCAAATTCATTCAGGGCAAATTTGTTCGAGCATGCAGTAATCATTTCTAATTATAAACAGTCAGTCTCATTTAATTTGCTATTCCAATGATGGGTATATTTATTAACATGGCCAATGATATCTACTGGACATCTCTAAGTGAACTTCTGCTTGTTACGGATTCAGTTTCAACTATTTGTCGTTACTAATATCACAGTCCTGTTATATTACTCAGAGCAACACTGCAATCCCAGAAACAAGAAGACTATATCAATTTTCAATTAAATACAAACGATAGTTGAACACTAGTAGTACGTAGTATTTTCTATGCAATCAGTGTCTTCCCTAGGTTACATTAACGACACCCTGCCGAAGAGCGAGCGGAGAACCAATAGACATTTATTAGATATTACAAAGTTACCTCAGAAAGGCATCGCACTCACCAAATGATTAATGTCGTCGAGGTCTATTTGATGTAGCCGTCGGAGATCGAGACCTTCTACGTCCATGTCCACGTTTATCTGGTGAGCGAGAGCGAGAACGGCGGTCATAGGAACGACGATCACTTTTAGATACAAGAAAATAAATGATAGGAACAATTAAAAAGGGGGAAGGAAACAAAATAGAATTAGTGTTGGCAGTGATAGTAAACAGATCCAATGCATCCAGCTTCGCGCATTGAACTATTTGATTTTTTCGAGTCAACTCACTATTCATGTCGTCCTCTTTCACGATGTCTATCACGATCAAAACGATCGCGATCTCTATCCCTGTCATCGTACCCGCGAGCCCCTGAGCCTGCATTTCGATCTTTATTTTTCTCTCTGAGTTCTCTTAACAATTCACGAATGCGAAGGTATCCGATATGCATCTATGGATTAAATGTTAGTATAACGACTAACGTCATATTTTATTAGTAGAATTAACCTCACCTTTCCGCCAAAGTGATCAGCAAGACTAAACACATACACGATATGAAATGTTATTCTTCGCCCAAATTGCAATCCATCTCATAAGACAAATCATCAAGAGTTCCTTACCGTCGATCGGAGTCATAAATTGACAAATAAGCACTGCAGACCTCGCAAACGCGTAATTTTTGTTGTTGCGACGGTCCCCCACCCTCCGTGGAATTCTTAAGTTCTTTCTGTAAATAAAATCAAAATAAATCCATCAATATTATAACCATAGTCAATCGAATAAATTCGATTATACCTCTTTTTCAGTCTTCTGAGCTTTCTTTTCTTCGACATCTGCCAATAATTTCATAGAGTCGGAGACCTTTCCCTCTT